TATAAAGCATTTACGTCTTTTATAACAAAGCAGTTAATTTCCCTAACATTGAACTCTATCTTACACATAAATAATGAACTGTTTTTATTATTATGGCAAACTGTTGCTTAAAGAAATTACGTTTATTATTTATGATAATTTGGAAATTTATAATAAAAAATTCTGTAATCGCCACTCAAAAATTATGTCTATTATGTGCACTTTCCTAGACTTTAAAATTGCAGGACATTCGAATATGTAGTGAAGGAGCTATCTCTAGTACCAGCAGACCTACCTGTAGTAATATTGGGTAACCACTGCGACATGCAGCACCACCGCCAAGTACATCCTCACCACATTGAACAGGCTCTACATCATGCCAAAATGACTAGGTAATTTATGTTTTTTACCCACATATTTTACATAAACAGGGTTATTTGTAAAATACTAACGACCTCACAGGACTATACTCAAACAATCACTTTTGTTCCATAACTTTTTTTCCAAACAAGTGGTAAAAACTTAAAAAAGCAAGTTTCTAATTATTGTTGTACTATCTGACATTTTATTTATATCTGTTGGTAGTAAGTTCAAATATGTGCAAGCATAAGCGCCCTCCCTGACTATTTCTTTTGTTACCGCACAGAGTTATCACCGCATAGAGCGATGCGATCTATTTAAATATTTTGATTTTAGTATGAAAGTAAAACTTAAAAATATTAAAAGTCCTAGAACAGAATTTGTTGTTCATGATGTTAGTAATGTAGTCTTGTGAGGTTGTTAGTATTTTACAAATATAGTCCTGTTCTATAACGTGATTATACTGTATAGTCACGTCATACACTAATTCTTAACTAAAAGTTAATGACGTGACTTACAAACTTTTAGTTAAGGTTTACGCATTCATGAATGTTAAAAATGTTTAGGAAATTATTGATTGTATGACTAGATAATCAGTTAAGTTTGTGACGTTCATTTGAACTTAATTTTCAACCAGTGCCACTATTGCCGCTAGTAAATAGTTCTTTGAGCGCCTTCAAAATAGATGCTTGTAAAAACGCTGTAGGTGCGCGACAGTGGCGCGGCAGCTGCGCGTCTGTAGTGCTTCAGTAATTTTTAGTTAACTAATTGTGACTGCAAAAGTGGCGCGCGCTTATCACGACAGTGGCGCTGCAACTACGCTTACAATAAATAAATAATATTAGACAACATCACATACGTTGCTTTGACCACAAAGTAGCTAAACCACTTGTGTTAGCGATGCGCGATTGTCAATGATTTCGATATTTGACTCGTTCGAATTATTCAATTCGAATGACAAATTAGTAACCTACTAATTTTTGTACTTGAATGATCATTCATTACTAATTAGTAGTGCTAATCCATAGATTCCAATCTATGGATAAGCACTACTAATTAGTTCACTTAGCCCTCTCTGACAAGGTAAATACCGTAAACTACCGTAAGACCAGGATATTTTCTTACACACATACAATAGTGAATGATCTGTGGAGTTCCGAGTAGTTCCGACATAATAATCATTCGACTCGTGCACCCGACGAAATTATGAAATAAAAAAAAGTTGATTATGCTTCTTTTATTTTATTTTATTTTAACTTATTGGAAGACCAACGGCTATCTTACAGAGTAAAAACTAATACTTATATTCGACTAAGGCGAATGATTTGCACATTCGAATGATTAGTATTAGTAACATTCAAAATCGTTCATCGCTAACTTATGTTATGGAAATCGGAAACAACGACGGTAGACAAACACCCAGACCCGAGACAACATAGAAAAGTTAGTTTTTCTACATTGACCCGGCCGGGGATCGAACCCGGGACTCAGAGATGGCGACACCATGAAAACCGGCGTGCAAGCGACTCGACCACGAAGGTTGTCATAAATATTGTATGAAAATTAGTAGTAACGCGGTCAGTGCAACGCCTCTATAAGCGTCTAATATGAAGGCGCCCTGTTTGTCGCCATCTCTCTAGACATGTGAAAGTATCAAGGGCTGTAAATTTTAGTAAATCAGTTCAAGTACTACAAGAGAAAAACTCCACATAGACTTTCTATACTATTAGAACGGCGCCAATTCGCTACGCAGAAGCTTCCATGAGGAACGGCTTTGGACTACGACTACTGCACAAATTTTTGAGTGTGCCTTTCCTACGACTCCAAAGAACAAGCTTACTCGAACAGCTGCAGAGAAACCAGAAAGATATGGAAGAAATTGAAAAAGACCTTGACGATTATCAGGTAAACGAAATTTACTTACTTACCATTCCTGTTCAGAAGTTCCTGCGTTGTGGTGAACCATGAAGTAAAAATCCATTGGTTGATTTAGTTCAGTACAGTCTAATGAATAATACCATTATTCACAGTCATAAAGTGGTTGTTTATTCCCGCCGCTTCGTTCGCTTTAAAAAAAAACTATCGAAATTAATAGGGTGTCTTTAGGATTCAGGTTATTCTCTCTGGTTCGTTGAATTAAAACGAATTAACTCTTAATTGATTGTTCCCAGAATTCCGAAGAAATTCACTACAATCTATTCGTAGAACGTCTAGCGAATAAGCGGCGACAGAATACGCCGGAGGTGCGGCCCGCCAATGACCGCTCGCCAAGCATCGTCTTGGGAGCCGGCAAACCCATAGTGCCACCCAATGTCAATCCACTTGTAAGTCTGTCTCTGTGTTTGCTTATTGTAAAGAATCGACAAAACATTATGACTCACCTGAAAGTGGCTATAGTAGTGTATAGTCATTTAAAATATCCGTAACGCCCGTAACATCGAAAGTTTCATGTGCCTATGGTTGTATAGGCTACAAAAATAATGTGCTAGACTACAACACCAATTACCTTATCTCAAACTAACGAACTCCCTGTATTATGAGTACGGTAAGTGAAATTCATTCCAAAGAGTGCCAGGGAATCTTGTGAGCTCACGCTCACATGCTAATCGTTAGGCCACCGAATTCGTCATATTCGTTAGAATATGACTTATCCTGACGGGCTTCTGTAAAGTCCAAACATCAGAACCAAATAGATATAATTTTCTCTTGTAGCTAGCACAATCACTGAATCCAAAGGGCATCAAAGCTCAGCATGCGCCAGAAATGTCTCAACTGAAGCAGACGCAATATGTGAGCCCGGAACTCCTCAAGCCTAAACACCCTGTCAGTCTCGATATGACACCTACAAAGATATCTCAAGATGGGTAAGTAAAAAAATTATCTCAATAATCTCAGTACAGAGTACTAAAAAACCGACCTCAAAAGTTCGTGGAATTACATCTATTTGCCAAGTTTTATTGAAATCGGTTACCGGAAAGTACACGAAACCGGATTCATCTCCTAGTTTGCCACCCTTAAAGGTAGGAAAGGGAGGAATATTTTCTTCAAATTGAAATGGGACCAATACTGAGGTACCCTCTTTCCAACAAAAAAAGAATCATCAAAATCGGTTCACAAAAGTTATTGCGTAACATACATAAAAAAATACAATCGAATGGAGAAACTTCTCCTTTTTTTGAAGTCGGTTAAAGATTCAGTGACGTTAAAAAAGAAATTTCTAAATAACGCGACTTATCCTACGCGACTTCGTCCTGCGTATCCTAATAAGCACTTCGTGTAACATGTTTACTTGAGAATTGGTTCTATATACAAAATTTCATCCCCTATTTTACCCCCTTTAATATTTACTTTTATTCTATCATTAGTCTATAAAATTCAGCAAATTTGGTTCAGCTGTTTAGGTATATTCGCATTTATATTATCACTTTGGGTTAAGAAACATTTTAATTAGATTTCTTATCTTAAATAACCCTTTTCTATTGTTCAAACGACACTAAAATGGCGCTAATTCGCTTTATTATTGTAGTAGCACATCTAACACACCAACTGGCACGACTATATCGGCGTCTTCCGGCGTACTCGACGAGTTCTACGCCGGGACCCTCGATAGCAGCTTTTTAGAAGATTTAACTCCTGGGATCTCGCACACTAATCAGGAAGGCGGATTTGAGAGTGAGAGGTATGTATATAATAATACATAGGCATAAGTCAGTCTTCGCCCTCGGCGCTATAGAGATGCGAGGCGGACTTGTGTTGCAGTGCACATACAAGGTGAAAATATTTGCTGTTAGTTCCAACGTAATTACGTTGGAACGTTGATTGTAATGATGTGCTAATGCGTAAATTGTTCATTTATGTACTTTACATACAGTACTGTGTGGAAGAAAATACTTAATTATACTTTATCGAATAATAATAGATAACAAAAAATGTTTATGGGGTTCAAAGAATTGTAATAAAAGACACTTTTTTTTATCAATATCAAGTGACGGGACGGAACGTGATCAGAATTGGTGGAGTATATTTGCCTAAAAGAAGTAATACGCATGGAGTGGATTATTATTGTATTTTGTTCTATATTTTTTTAATATTACTTTAGTAGGGTAGATTTTAAGTAGAAAGAGTTCGTCCAGGGATGTACTGTCTGACACCTTACATATTTCTGCCGCCAAGCAGTAATGTGAGCATTACTGCGTTCCGATTTTGAAGTGTTAAGGATGCTGGTGAAATTACAGGCACATGGAACTTGTCAACTTACGTCTCAGATCTTTGTGATTTAATGCTGTGATTGACACTGCAACTGTTGTGGACGGTCGTGTAGCTTATCATCAGGCGCACGACTTGTTCGTCCCTTCACTTAGTATCATCAAAAAATATTTAGATGAAAAGTTTTGTAAATAGAAATATAAAATAAATTTTTTTTTACCCTTTATTTTTAATCATTCCGGGATTTCAGTGCGATGTATTATGGACTCTATATGAATAACATGAAGTTTAGATAAATATACTCTACCTTTGGCAATTAAACTTGGTCTAAGTTAAAATTGAAAAGAACTATAGACAGCTAGCTAACAATAACCTAATGAATTTTAGCGAAGACGGTGACACAACTAATCCAATGGTAACATTCGAGGAAGATGATCTTGAAGACTCAACTGCAGTAGAAAGCAAACCTGTAACAAACATAGATAGAACAAGAATAACTTCAAGTCTCAGTAGAGACGAAGACTTGCGAGACCGATTAATGTCTCAAATGACGATAAACCAAGACAGTGTTGAAACAGAGAGCAGTGATATGGGCAGCATATCCATATTCAGCAGAAGCCGTCATGAGTTGAACATTGAAAACGATTTTCCGTTGTGGGCTGGTGATTCTAGCGCCAGGAGATCACCTGAAGGTAAATGATTTATTTTTATTTAATGAAGTACTAGAGTTTACTGCTGATCTATTGGCGTTCTATATTTTTAATTCTACGTCTAATAACGCACACGCACACTCTCATAGCCCCGCACTATGGAAACCCCGTATCGCGCGTGATGTGAACACATATATAGACAACCATAAATTACACACATCGAGTATATAACCAGAAATAGAGACGAAATAAGGGTCTTTCCCCCTGGCAACTCATCGGGCAAATGGGCCTTATATCAGTTTGAAATATAAACTCTCGTTTGCGCTGAAATCACAAATTAGAACACTGAAACAGTACAGCGCCAACAACTGACCTGTGTACGTCTCCGTATATTCCAAAAATATTCTGTATTTATTGTAATAAAGATAATATCTCTAACAATGGGGGGGTTCTTCCATTCGGTGGTGTAGGAAAAACAGCAAAACTTCTAATTACAAAACAAACGGAATCACTTTTCATAGGTAAATAAGTATGTTTTTGTATTTGGCCAGACCGGCCAAATGATAGTGACGGAGTGAAGATATTTGTGTTTTCCATCCGTTACTCTCATCTCTGGACTGTATTCGCACTTTCCATCAGGCGCGGTGCCGTCATTTTTCCGAGTCGCAATAAAAAAAAATGTAATTTTTTAATTTTCGCCCATTATAGCAAAGCTGTAGTTAAACTGGTCGATTTGAAGTGAAACAATTGACAGCACCCGTCAATTGTTTCGAATTCGGGCTGGCCAATCGGACCGCAGATGTCCACGTAATGATTTGGCAGAATAGTTTTCATACAAATTGAATGACATTTCGTCTATTTCTAGTTATATACTCGATTATTACACCTAAACTCTTGGGAGAAACAAATGTAGGCTATACAAATATTTCTCGCGGACCAGGAATCGAACTCAGGACATCTGCGTGGCAGAGCAGCATGGTAACTGTTCGGCCACATAGGCAGTTGATGTAATTATAAGGTATATTTATGTATTAAACTGGTGTCGTGTTGTAATCCTGCGTTCATCGTTCTTGTTAGTTTCCTCAACGTACGTGATTCTATTGTTACAAATAAATAGTTTTGTGTCATATTATTTTTATAACATTTTATTTATATGCAAGACTCGTTACAAAAACAATTCCATTTAAATGTTCATTTTTTACTTGTTATTTTACATTCCAAATTTATGTATTTCAGGGGGTGAAGACCCGGATGTAGCGAAAGAACCTGACGATAAGGTAATATCGTTTTTACGTTCACAATTTACTATTATCCGCAATTTATACAGTTGTAACGCACTCTCATTGCCTTTTTATGTGCAAGTGACCGGAATTGGTAGAGTATTAAAAATAGGCATCATCTTGGATATCATGTCTCTGCACTTCACGAATTTATTTCGATGTCTGTGGGCCAACTATCAAAATAAGAAGAAAGAAAGCGATAATGCAAATATTACACATTACAACATCAGAACATTTACTATTCATGCGCTTTTACAAAACTTTATACCGTTCACAATCTATCGATAAAGTTGTCGACAATAATTACACGGCTCAAATTTTATGAAAAATGGCAACCCTGCAAAGGCCATTTTACTTCGTCTTTGACGACGTTGTATATAGTTAGTAGTAATTACAGTAATGTAGTTAAATTAATTAATAACTTCTTACCCATTAAAGGTAAAGAAACACAAAAAGAAGAAGACCAAAGACAAAGAGAGTGGCGACAAAGCGGATCGTAAAGAAAAAAAACATAAGCACAAAAAAACAAGAAAGGAAAAACCTAACCCACAGCAAGATTTGTTAGCTTCTACTGGAGATTTCAACTACGAAGAGTATGACAGTATATAGCTGATTCCTTTCCGTACGGACTACGGACAAATCCTGTACCTGAGGGCTTATACAGGTTTATTTGAAAAATACTAACAACCTCACAGGTCTATATTACTAACATCATAAATAACTTCTGTTCCATTACTTTTTACAAAACATAGCAATTTAACGGAAAATAAGGTTTTTTTTGTACTATCTGTAGTAGGGTAGTAAGTACAAACGTCCTCCCCGACTATCGCCACCCTCGCTACTGCTTTTTGCACCGGACTGGTATTACTGATTTGATCTTTGAGCTTTGTTCTCAAGGCTCAAAGTCACTCAACGAGCCATGGAGCGAGCAATGCTCGGTATTTCTCTACGTGATCGAATGAGGAGATCCGTAGAAACAAAGTCACCGACATAGCCCGAAGGGTTAGCAAGTTGAATTGGCAGTGGGCAGGGCACATAGCTTGTAGAACCGTTGGGACAGAAAGGTTCTCGAATGGAGACCACGAACCGGAAGGTGTTCAGTGAGACGGCACCCTACTAGATGGACGGATGACCTGGTACGGGCGGCGGGTAACCGATGGCTGCACGTTGCGTCCGACCGGCTAGTCTGGCAAGCCTTGGGGGAGGCCTATGTTCAGTAGTGGACGTCTTCCGGCTGATATGATGATGATTACTTATTTCATAGTAATTGTTTCGGACGGATGTCTGACAGAGAACGAGAGTAGAGCCCCTAATGAATTATCATGGAACAAAAGTTGTTGTTTATGATGTTAGTAATATTTCAATATAGTCTTGCGAGGTTGTTCGTATTTTACAAATAACGTATGACGGTCATTCTCACATTCGGTGTTCTCAGCCTAATTACCGTAGCCAATTCGGTGTCGTCAGCCTAATTACCGTAGCCATTGTTATTTCTCGCTTAATATACCCAATAGCATTGAAATAAGAACAACTTTAAGCCTAACTATCAATATATCTAAACGGGATTAGAATAGACAAAGTAGTTTTAAAGTTATTAAGAAACAAATATTTTATAGAAACGGTAATTAGATCTAATTACCGTAGCCGAGGATATGGTAATTACAAAATTTAAACATTTTTAAGAAAAACCGACTATTTCCGACACAGCTGAATTATTATTTGTATGTTTTACACCGAAATGGCTATGGTAATTAGACTGAAAACACCGAATGTGCGAATGGCCGATGACCATTATATGCTGTGCACACGTCGGGCTAACTAACGTCACTCGCTTTCATTCCTAACGTCACACGTCCAAGGCTCAATTTACATTGGCCGCGGAACGGTAAGGAAGCGAATTTTTGTAACGAAATTGTAACTAGATACGATACTGTGGCTGCGGTATTCCCGAGACTGCGCGAGAATGCACCAGAGTTTGTACGTTACACAATAGACATAAAATTCATTATGTTATAGCTACAAAAACTAGCTTCCATTATTTTGTGAATCAGACTTTTTATGATACCAAGTGACGAGACGAACAAGTCGTGCGCCTGGTGATAAGCGACACGCCTGTCCATGAAAGTTGCAGTACCACTCGGACCAGGGGGTCTACTCTCGATCTCCGTCCGATTTACCCTAAGCCCCAGCACGCCCGGGCCTAGGGTGGCCAATCGTGACAAAATATTCACTGATGATAACAAAAAACAACTCAAAGTACCTAAATATTCTAAAGGCTCACGCATATTATGGCTGGCCGCATTGCACCGCATCGTATAACAATAGTCTTCCTAAATCACTTTCGTACATTTTATGTACAAAATATAGATATGTTATTTATCTAAAATGTAATGTATAATCACTACATCACTACGTCTGTCTGCCTGATCGCGATAAACTCGAAAACTACTGAACGGATGCTGGTACTGACTGCAAATCCGCCACTGACTAAGATCTGAGGGGCACTGCCACTGCGCCCGTCACCTTGAGACAAGTTGATAAGACTCATGTGCCTGTAATTGCACCACATACACATGCTTGTACTACCTGAGATTGGCAAAACAGATACAGGTTCAGGGTTCTGTCAGATCGAAGGAATAATTCTTTGTGTGATCGATTTGTACGCAACGCGCTGGTTCGCAATATCTAGATATTTTTATTGGCGTTCGTAGGTCCGATGTGTATGCACGCACAAATGTAATTATACTCGCTCTCTAGTGACAACGATAAAGAATTTTCCGTTAAAAATGTGGTTTGGAAAAGAAATTCAATTTTATATAACATTTATTATCAAGTCTGATTGTTTATGGATCATTGTAAAAGCTGACAAGTTACTATTTAGCTCTGAAATTGTGGCGCTACTTTTGACGTGTTTTTCATTGTTGTTAGTAGAAATAGATTTATAAAATAACGCGAGGGTTTAAATCCTAACTTGTCAGTATTTATCTAGTGATCGACGGAAATAAAAAATGTATTATTACTTTGAATTCTCGATTCTATGCAATGAAGTGGCAACCATTCCATTTTTAAACTTTTTAGACTTATTTGTGTCTTATTGAAAGCAAATGTTAAAAAAGAACAAAAAAAATATTGTGCAATTGTGCTAATGTTAAGTAATTGTTATTGTTGTCTTTGAAAAGGTTATTTAGTAGGAAATACACTATTCACACTATTCATGAATAGTGTATTTCCCTGTTATAATGGAAGTTAATTATTATTATATGAGTATATCTCTGTTGAATATTATCACCGCATTATTATTAGAGCCAAAGGGATGTATGTCTCTTCACGATTACATTAAACTAAACTTCTATTTGTTTAATTAATATTCACACTCATTAAAGCGTCACACGAGCGTAATTCCAAACGCATTGCAACTGCAAAATATCGATTAAAATGCAGAATTCACGATTGCATCGCGGTTAGGGTTACCATCCGTCCAGATTAGTCCGGACATGCCCGGCTTTTTGACCTTTCAAATCAAATATAATAAATAATATAAATATAATCTAATCTATCTAAATAGGTAATCGAGTATAAGGAACGTAATAATTATAAAATTCTAATATGTCTGACATTAGTATCGGAATGATATTCATTACATCATTAATATACAAATAAATATTTTGAATTTATACATTAAAATTATTTTAATTAATACAATCAACTAATTAAAATCTTCTGTCCGGATTTTTCGGCTTAGGGTAACAATTTTCAGAATAAAAAAGTTAAATATCTACTAGAGAATAACAAGATTGCAAAAACTATTTTTACAGATTTAAATCGCGTATATTTGTTTTTTCAAACAAACCAAACAAAACAAAGTGATGAAAAATTAATATTGTATGCCACGCGGGCGGGACAATAATTACAAACATTTGAATCAGTACCTTTGTTCGTAATTGCCTACGTGTCCTTGTGGCACATCTTGTGGTATTATTTCACAACACGCAACAGCATGCCGCACTCGCATCGCAACGCAGCAGCTTAGTAATTCTGGTTTGAAGTTTGTATTCGTGAAAATGCCAATATACTGTGAACTCGGCATTGGTCGTATTAGCGAGAGCTCGGAATTGAATAATTGTAGTGGTTTATACTATATATCGACCCCTCCCACGTAAAGTATCGTATGTCAGAATTGCCAAGTTTAGAGGGGAGCCTTTTAAAGTTCTGAATTCACTGAAATAAGCATAACACGTGACTTTAGATTTCTCACTTTTATTCGGTAAATCTCGTTACATACGTTGAGTATCATAAAATCCTAGATATCGGTTAGATGATCTATTAGATGATCACTCTAGGTGAGTAACAAGCTTTGCCGAATGAAACGGAGAACTTTAAAACACTCCCCTGTAAACTTGGCAATTTCGACATACGATACTTTACGTAGGAGGCGTCGAATATTGGTACATATGCATAACTTGTTCGACCCGTCACTTTATATCTTAAAGAAATGCTATTCCCAGCTCTCACTAATATTACTATATCAACATCTTTAGATCCACTTTTGTAGATGACGGTACTAAGAAACTCCACACATCGCGCGCAGTGCAGTGCAGTGCACTTCTTATACGAAAGTAGTGTGTGGAGAAGTGTTGTCATTTTATGTGAAGAAACCGCCTGAACGTTTGGCGCCATAGACATAATATATAAAAATTTTTAAGACAATGTTATTGTGCAATTGCCACCTCGTTTTTATGCAACCTGTGCAACAGGAGATGTGCAGAATGTGTTTGCGTCGTTTTGTATTGAAGCGCCCAAGACCTACCTAGTTGACCTCATGTCCTCATGTGGACTGACTACTGACAAGAGTTGTGATAAAATTACCATTACCGCTAGTTTACAATGTCTATGGTCGCTCGCAACCGTATAAAATATTTATACGGAGTTTTTTTTATAACGATTGTTAGCCACTATTAAGACGACTCTGGCGTCGCCAAGTGGCGCTGCAACCGCGCCATTTCTCATTTTCATACGATATTTAGAAGCGCAGTGCGTGCAACGAGGGTGCGAGTTGTGAATGTAAACTCATTGTCGTTCTTCTTTTTAAATAACTGGATCACATGAATATTCAATTGTAGTGAGTGCGTGTTTGATACCTACAGCAGCTATTATCTATATATTGTATATTTTCGACCGACATACAGCTAAACTATCTTGCCATACGTGTTAAACTAGCTGAGGGCTCTATGTTGTTTATGCTTGTTGTATAAAAAATAAAAAATATTTTTATCACAATACCAATTGTTGTTATTGAATTGAAGCAACATTGTTTTACCAAAAACCATCCGATTGTGATTTACAAGTTATAACAATTGTAGGCCGAATATTAGTTTTATGTTTAAGTATTCAACGCTAATAGTACAAAAAACCATCGTGACTAAACCTGCATGTCGAAGAAGGTTTACGTCCTTTAAATAACTTGTTACCCCACGGCATCACTCATCCCGCTGTCGGAACACCTCCCTCCTGGGCATGCTCTACCTTGGCAAACTTGGAAGTCCCTAAATAGGCTGTGGACACAAGTCGGCCGAAGCAAGGAGTGTATACGCGGGTGGGGTTACAGCTCACAGAGCGCACGTCTCTGTGGTCTCTCTCCCCAGACAATGCACAACTGTACATGCAAGGACCTGTACAACGCCACTGATAATGCTGTCTCAGTCGTTAAGTACTGGTCCCCACAAATACACGCCAAGAAGGAGAAGAGAAGATTGTTAAGTCTCCAGGCTGCCCAATACCCAGTATAGCGGACCAATGGGCCAATGCCCAGTATAGCGGACTACAGCCTAAACCCTGCCCTTCAATTGCCCAGTAGTGCAACGTATGAGTAAGGCTCAATTTACATTGCGGCGGAACGGAAGCGAGTCGTCGGTATGCTCGAGCATTCCCGCAGATTCTCGTGTCTACCTCGTGCCTTATGAGTTTTACACGACAAAAGATTGTGGGCTTGGATATTGTTTTTAATTCGCTTATTTGTGAAGAAAACCAGAAAAGGAAAAAGAGATATTTGGGTTCATGATTTAATGGAAGAAAACGAAACTTTTTGGACAATATAAAATATTTTGCAAAGATTTATTTCTATCCTACTATTTTTTATGATTATTATGAAATTGACTTTGATAAGTTAAGTGTATATATTACGGCCACATATCATTTAGGATTTTGTCGCAGAGTTTTTTAGTTTTCACATTATACAAACAATCTTCATATATTTTTGCACCAAATAGATGAACTTTTTCATCTGAATCCATGTTTTTGCTGGCACGGTCCGTACACAACCTATTTTGTAGATGCGTGACGTCGCACTGCAACTGCGGAACTCCCACGGAATTGCGAAATGCTTGCGTATCCTCGAGAATACTCGCGCATTCCCGAGCATGCCTGCGTTTTAGAACTGAAGTGCTTCATTTGGCGTGCATTGATTTACATTACAAAGTTTGTAATTACAAACTGTTGATAAGTAAAGTTTTTTTTGTCGTAAGGCTCAATTTATATTGCGGTGGAACGGGCTAGAAGTGAATTTATGTAACGATATTGTACGTACATAGTGTAATGAACTTTATGGTCAATTGTGTAACGTACAAACTAGATACGAGCAAAAAATCACGTCACAAGTCTTCCGCGGAATTCTCACGCATGTTTGAGAATGCTCGCGCGAAAATTCCGCAGTTGCCGCCGACGACGCCTGCCGATTTCGCGAGAAAGCTCACTTGAGCATTCCCGCGACCGCGCGCACCTCGAAATTTGACGCTTCCACTCCGCCGCAATGTAAATTGAGCCTTAAAGTAGATCATAGGCATAAAATATTCCTCATATATCCTTATAATATAAGGAACAAACAATAACGAGAAGGTAGGAATGGGATGAGGACAACAAAATAACTAATAAATAGAGTACATTCTATTCAAAATGTAAATGTACAACCACATCGATATTTTATTGGTTAGATTATAAAAATTGGACCACATTAGAGAAGTCCGCGCAGTAATTTAACAATATTACAAACAAAAATCTCTACATAACAGAACTTATAGATATTAGTCAACTTTTTTATTTTTATACATACTATGGTACACGATTAATTAACATTAAAATTTACCTAATTTTATATTTTTACATTCTATACATAGTTAGATAATATTCTTCATTTCATAATAAGTTAATAAAACTATAAAATATTCATCTTCACTTAAACAGGCATTTTATAAGGCTAATGTAGGTAGTTTGTGACAAATATCTTGAGCGAATTGTATAAGAGTCGAGTGCAAGCAAAGTATATAATTTTTAGTTGTTTGCCCAAATAACAGAACCTATTAAAAGTCGGATGGTCATATCGCATTCAAAGGTCTTATGTATGTGCGTTATGTAGTCATGCGGATTGTGGCTTAAGAACAGACCCCAGTGAAGTTTTGATCCAACTGGATTGTCGCATATGTGGGGCCAGCTCAGGCCTTATAGACTATGTCCACTTGATGCTAAGTGCAGAAATATGTAATACCAAGTATTGTACCCTAAATAGAATTTACACAATGCTCGTCTCGTACACACCAAAATCAAAACGTTTGCCACAACCAGAAATGGAAACAATATTTGGTGATTTTCAAATGGATATCTTTAAATACAACATGAAGTTTTTATGTAATAAAGCACTTTGTACTTGGCTCTTAATATCTGTTAAATTTGATACAAACTTTCGCAAATTTAGAAATCACAACAAAGGTACGTGTCTGGAAGTTAAGATATCCAATGTCGATGCACAGTCAAGAGCAAAAACATGTATGCACATAATTTCGTTTGCAAAACAGTTTTTACTGTAAAGGTAAAGTTTTTTAAGTTTTTGTTCATAAACGTTTGTTTATGAACAAATGCTTATAAATAAATACATGTTACCAGATACTTAACCATTTCATAGATAGTATCGCACACAATAGTGTCAGTACTTTTGACGTATTGATTCAATATAAAATGTGCTATGTATGTAAATCATTGAATTTTGTCAGTACGTTGTTGACACTTCTCTATGGAAAAGCAGTAAGCTGTAACTACACATAAAGCATTCGGAAATTGCACTGTAAAGCCCCTAAATGGTTTTTTTATCATCCATGTAGCGAAACGAGGTTCCCCGTACTATCAAATCCTGACATTTAATTTTACGGTAAACGCTGTCACTGTCTATGAAAGGGTTAAATACGTAATCATTAGTATACAATATATGCCAATATGGGCAGAAAATTGCATAAATCCAAATGGTCATAAATCTCTAGACGTTACCAGAAGCGTCACCGAACCCCTTGTTCTCTTTTGTTCCTTACTGCTTCGGTCCAATTAATAACAAAAGAGCGTTTTAACTATTCATCCCTTTTTACAAAACTTTGTAATTATTTTTATATGTTTACGAACATACAAATGCATTGATAAAAAATCTAAGCAATTTAATATTCTAGAATTGTACACCCTTGTGTGCATTATTCAAGAAATTTTCGATGTATTTGTATTCTTTGGTAATGGTGAGGAATACATATTAATGTTTTTATTGCATATTTACGATATAATGCACGTTTCTATATTTATGGCAACAATGGCACATTTTTTATGTGATTTAATAGTTTTACTCTCGACTGTACAGGTGGACGTTTCATGTATTTTAAGGAAAATATCTAGGTAACAGATAAATGTATTTGCCATAGCAGTAGTTGTTATATAAAAATGTAATATTTTATATTTTCACACAACATTGGTTTTGTTGACCATCCACAATTATTTTCAATATTTAATGAAAAATATTTTTCGTTCTTTCAGGTATACTCCAGCCAGTTCTACTGCGTTAACTCAGTTTTTTGTTTACGTAAAAGTCATTGTAACCATTAATTATTTAAAGACGCGACATAAATGCTTATTGAAAAATCATAGAAATGAAATATAACTGAAGAAAATAAAAAGTACGAATTCAAAAGCGTACACCAACGCTACGTGGTTATAATAAAATCACACTTTTATAAATAATTATGTAAATGTCAATTTCGTACCAATTATTTAGAACAAAATCAAAATATTATGTTTAAAATATACAAGGCCAAGATTCCATAAAAATGATCATAAATCATAAAATATGAATTTCGTAATTTGTTTTTTATTTTTACATTCAAAGTGCAGGCAAGAATAATTGCTATTGACAATTTTATTCAGAATTATTGGTAGGGATGATTTGGACTATAGGTAAAAACTGAGCACATTTACAGAAGATTTGGTCAATAAGTACCCTACACTAAAATGTATGCTTTTTGAGATACTAAAGGTGCATTTCCATTAACCCATAAAAATGTACTTATTAGCCCGTTATAAATAATTTTGTAAAGGTTATCAATAGCAACAACTATCCTTTCACAGTCCAATTTCACACAGACCCGCTACATGAAAAGCTGATGGACAAAATTTCGATTTTTTTCAGAAGATTGTCAATATTTAGCTGCTGTGAGTTGCCATTGTCCTTAAAAACATTTTTAGTTTTTAAAATAAGTCGGCCAAGCGTTTAAATAAACAACTTATATAAAGAAACTAGCTTATAATCATTTTGAGTCGAGACGAATGCTAAGGCTAAAAATATTTTAAAACCGATTGCTCATCCGGTGGGCAGTTACTTCCATCTTTAGAGTCTATAGACTAATGTAATTAATGAGCATTCCATTCTGTCGTTATATTTTGAGAATAACTTATTAAGGAATGTATTTTCTTTTTTAATTTCAAATAAAATTATTATTAACTTGTTGTGGTATAGCTTAAGGAATCTTTTCTCTCTTTCTCTTTCTTTCTGAACCCATTGACCGACCGAACTAACATAATTAATCATAGTGCGATTTACTAACTACATGCATGTTCTGTTTGTTTTAAAATGGTTTCTTTAATGGGTAATTTTCAGGTTAGCTTTCCCTACCTAATTTCGGTGGCAATATTTATTACTTAAATGTTCTTGCATATTATCATGAAGTATTATTTAATATTCCAGTGTAGTATCCTGAAATATTATTTAGTATTTCAAGGTAATATGCTCGAATACTTAAATAATAAAAGTTGCCACCAAAATTAGGTATAGAAAACTAACCTGAAAATTACCCTAACGATAAAATTAAACTAAACAAATGCCAAGAAACAATAATTTTGTAACGAGAAATCAAATTTTAGTCAATTGAAGTAGTACGATGTACTTTCTGACTTTAACGACTTCAGCAAGACTTTTCTATATTTCAGATCTATTAATAAACAGTACCACGCAATTTTTTTAAAACGAGGTTATTTTTGTTTCATATGAAATATCAATTTTTTTATCATAGGCTTTCTCTATTACTAAAGTTGAACGATTCCTCTCTCGTACCTGTGAATATTAAAGCTTGAGTGAAACGACGAATGGAAACCCATGTTTCTCTTTCGTATGACATTTCTCACAGCTTTTTCGGCAGTCAGAAATCTCTTGGTGTTGCCATTTATTTGCTAGAAAATTCTTACTGATCTATTCGGATTTTGCTAAAAGAACTATTTCACTAGGGGAACTTCCTTCAAACATTAATAATTGCACATCAGATCTGAGTTAATTTTCTTTTGAATGGAATAAAACACCTTAAAAGTAATCAAAAGACATGGTACGGCAAAAATTATACATTTTCGAAAATTCAAATAGTAAATATTGATTATTTATAAAAATAAAAACACATATCGTAAAAAAGAAGTTCAATCGAATATAAAAAATTATACTCTTATATTTACAAAAAACGCTTTAAATAAATATCCGTTTTGGCCTCAGTGTCGTTATGTAAAAGATTTTGGCATACACAAATAAAGAATCACATTATACAATCTAACTCTTGAGTATAATCCAACGAAATTCATATCAACTGTATTTCTCATTCATTTTATATCTTAATTATTATTTGCTCTTACTTTATCATCCATTTCCATAAACTATGTTGCAAAATAACTTGAACAAAATCCTAGCTTCGATATTCTTAACTAATTAGATAATCTTATTTACAATCTCTACATGATAATTGTTCAATTACATTATTAAAATTGTCACCCTAATTCTCTTAAAGAAAATTTGCTTGTTTCTTTAACAATTTCGTCACTCCTCGAAGTCGAGTTATGATTGGACGAAAGCACAGAATGTCAGTCCACGCGGGACGACCCACTAAAGGTTTCGTCTAGATAATTTTGAATCATATTAACTTGGTGACTTATGTGACCACTTAACGTGTCGAAACATATATTTTGGTCGAACGTATTATGCATTTGCTGAGGCGGTTCTTCGCGAAACTGGCCCATCATCCATGGGTCATCTTCTGGTTTTCGGGCACTTGTGTCGAAGGAAGGCATGGCGGACCACTGTTGCGGCGGAGGCGTATTGAGCATAGCGGGAATGTCTGTCCGCGGAGGCGGCGGTTCCGTGTTAAACGATGAAGGACCCCATACTAACGAGTCGATACTAGGAGTCGTGGTGTTAAACCTATCCATGTTCCAAGAACCTGGCACTTCTGGCGGGGGAACATTCTGAATAACCTCAGGCATTTTTGGTATAGAACGACTGTATAGGTCTTGTGGCCTCCCGCTAACGATTGTCCTCGAAGGCTGACCACCATCTGGACTTGCCAAGTGGCAGTCTGATCGCATCATTGGACTATAGTTTCCTGTAGCGGCTGGACTCTTTTTGTTGCTGTATGCTACTGTTTCTGCACTCTGCCTGGGAGAGTAAGGACTGTGGTGCAGGCGATCCTGTCGAGACATAGGACTATACTGGCCCGGAGTTTTATTAGGATTGTTTCTAAGTGTATCAGCCTTCATACCCATACCCGAATCAGGGCTGGTATGGGTAGATGGATGAGGAGAAAATGGGGCGTGGTGTTTGGGCATAGGGCTGAAATTGCCCGTATTCCAAGCGCCTGATTTCTGTAGATCTGGTTTCACTATTTGACTGGTGTCAGGACTCGGTTGTGCCGAATAAGGACTAGGTTGTGAGGAGTAGGGACTAGGCTGAGTGGAGTAAGGGCTGGGTTGCGTGGAATATGGGCTAGGCTGAGCAGGGCTCGGCTGAGCGGAATAGGGGCTCCTCTGCGAAGAGAACTGCGGGTCTTGTTTCGGCATGGGGCTGTAGTTACCATAATTCCAACTATTTGGATTTTTTATGTCCTGCTTAGCCCCAATAGTTTCAGGGCTGGGTTTATTTTCTAAGGAAGTGGTAGGACTACATTGTTCTATGACCTTACCATGCTTCAATTTATTGTGACTTTCTAATCTACTAAGGGGGCTCGCTTCTGATCGGTAAGTGGGAGTACTTTTGAATTTCCATGAATTACTTTTTGCAGATTCGGGTTGGACTTCAGGACTATTTTGCACTTGACTATCGGGTTTAGGGACAGGGCTGTAATGAGGACTTCCGAAGTCGGTTTTAGCTGGATCAGATCTAGGGGTGGAGGAGGAGTCGGGTTTTGATTGTGGTAAGGGACTAAGCAATTTCGGTGTAGCATCTCTTGTAGACCGCCGCCGGCCTTCTGGCAAAGGGCTAGCGATTTCAGGTATCTTGCTGACAGATTTTTCACTTTTATCAGTTCGCGATGGCGTTCGAGCGTGTGTTGGAGTCAGCGAAGTGTTATCAGCGAAACTAGACTCAGAGTCAGTAACGCTTTTGGGCTCTTGAAATAGAGTTGGAGACGACTCTTCTTTTGATTTCACTTCTACCTTACTTTCTGAGGTTTCAGCCGCATTGGAGCTTTTACTTTTGCCTTCAGATTTTGAGTCGGCCTCGGTCTTTTTAGCATCTTTCTTTTTCTTGCCTTTGCCTCCTTCGGTTTCTACTTTGGTTTTCGCTTTTTCCGGATCTAAACTGTCTTTTAAGTCCTGCAATTCCTTACCCGTATAAAGTCGTTTCATGCCTCGGGGTAGAGCGCGACATGAACTGAGATTTAACGATTCCACATGAGGGCACCTCAGAAGAACTTTCTTCACGGGTTCCAGAGATACTGATGAACCGCAAAGATTCAGCACTCTAAAACAAAATAGAACGCGAATTAGCAGAAAGATTTACTGGTTAAAATTGATTCGCGTAATTGTTTTTAAAAGTTTTTATTTTGTAACAAATTTAATTTAATTTCATTAATTGACATTTTGACACTAAAATAATGACACGTATTAAGTAACAAAGTAATTAACTAAGTTTTAACTTAATTTTAAGTAACCTAACGTTTACACGTGTTTAGAGAAGCTATAAGTACTTTCAAATTTTGAAACGTGAGTGCACCAAGTGCGTGAAACTGCAAGCCATGCTTACCGGGGTATGCGCTAGGGTGCGGGAGGATCTAGGATCATTAGGGCTAGCAGGGAGCGACTTACGCGAGATACTGCTATTCTTGCTATTTAGATTATCTCGCGCTTTATGTCGCTCTTACGCAAGTCGCGCCCTGTCGTGCTAGCCTTACAGGATCTTTTAACCAATGACTGCTATAATTATTGAATATGTGTAAACCAGCCATAAGTGTGCAATTACGACTTTCATCATGATAACATTTATTACGAGTATCCCGGTTTAAAAAAAAATGAACTCACTTGAGTTTGCTGCTAGTGGACTCTGCAAGTGCGCAAACGGCATCGTCCAACACGCGCGCCGCAGACGCCCACGATAAATCCAACTCTATTAGACTGTGAGACCACTTCTCGCAGATCAGTTCTAGGCATGCGTTGCTTTGACGTGTCACGTTGCAACCTAGGAACAAAAGTTGTTTCAAACACAAATTGTACATCAATCCCTACATATATACAGTGTCCCTATATACAGTGCGGCGATTTTTTTAACTTTCTTTCTCTAACTATCCTAAGTTAGAGTGAATTTGAAACGATGGTGGGAGATACAGGGAATCTTTTTTGTGAAAACAAATTTGACAGAGTCAATTTTCTTATCAAGTGTGATTTTTACAAAAAAACGGCCAACTTCTGATGGCCCGATTGTTTTCTTCCGATACAACGAAATTGTCGTAACAAGAACGTGCTTGTGATCAGATCAGCATTAACAAAAAAAGTCAATGTTATTCGTTTTTATGGACAACTCGGGCTTGACACAAAAATTTACCATGTCAGTTTTCACAAAAAAAAGACCTAACGATAATAACACAGATTCCCTATATCTCCAATAGTTTCGGATTTCTCCATGTCCCAGTTTAAAAAAACACACCATATAATAATGTATACTATACATATTACTATATGTATACTCTATAATGAATTTTGTTCAGTCTGTTTTCTCTGAATACAGGGGCCTACCACAACCTCTTAAAACAATATTACTTTAACCTTACATTGATTTTTCGTACCATGACGCGCTTACAGTAAGCATGTATAATGTTACAACTATGATGTTTTATTGGCAGCTTTGTGACAATTCATTCACTCAGTTCGTATGACGCGACTTATGTCAAATTAGCAAGCAATCTTAAAATAGTTACACGGATGCAATGGAACCAATATTATTTTCGAATTTATTGTCTAAATGTTGGTTTGTAATGATTAAAAGTTAAGTTGAACTTATTTTTTTACATATATCTCTTCAGTACTTTGTTTATTTTTCTTTTATTTGGCAGCTAAAATTCTCTGAATGTAAATAATATTATGTATTTTGACATTATTAAGAGGGAGCATGCCAAAAAAGTTTTGACGTTGGCTCCGCCCAAATTTGTGAAACAAATATATGCCTGAAGTTCGTGTGACATGCGACAGGAGATGTTGAATTTTGCGCATTAAAAGTACCAAATTCGTTTTAGCGGAATAACTCTAAGACTAAAGGGATTTAAAAAATCCGTAGTGACAGTTGTCGATCATGCATAAATATAATTAATTATCTAATTTTTGTCCTAATAGTCTGTAGCATTTCGAGGATAAATCGAAAAAATGTGAAAATTAGAGGTCATTTCATGATTTTTATCTATCGAGGAAACTTTATTGTTTTATGTTTCTGATTAATGTCTATGATTGAATATATCGTGTAGTTACTCACACAATTTATTTTTTTAACTTTAAAGTGGATATACCCCTCTAAAATCAAGTCGAACATTACGAATTTTTCCTGTGCTCCCTCTTAAAGTACACAGTAATATTATTTACTGTTCGGTGCGCGTTCGGAAACGGACGCGCTCCACCCCTCAGTGAATTCGAGTTGTGCGCGGCATATTAGGCCGCTGCGCGTAAGTGGCAACGGATTCCCAAGAACTCGTAGCCAATGAGCTTTTGGCGTATATCCAACACGCCATCGATACCATGGAGGACGAGGTCAGCATTGTGCAGATCTGCAAATCCAACTTCAACTGCAAATCTCATGATTTGCAGTGGCAAGATGCTGCTGTTGCAGAGCCTCGAGAAAGCTGAGAAGATGCCATCTCGCCGGAGGTACGGAGGTGTGAGGTCTCCAGGATATTATCACACTCCTGAAGGAGAGTGACCCGGACGACGTGGCGAAGGAGCTGCACAAGCTGCCCCCAGTTACGTTCGATTACGCCGATGTCATTTTTATTTTTTTTTATTTTTTTTATTGTGACTCGGCAAAATGACTGCACCGCGCCTGATGGAAAGTGCGAATACAGTCCAGAGATGAGAGTAACGGATGGAAAACACAAATATCTTCACTCCGTCACTATCATTTTGCCGGTCTGGCCAAATGCTTCTTCACACTACGTTTGAAGGACCCGATGTTATAGAGGGGAGGGAATACATGCGCCGGGAGTTGGTTCCACAATTTGATGGTTCGGCATAAGAACGAATTGCCAAACTTTTTAGTGCGGGACGGTATTGAACTGACCGTCCAACTGTGGCAACGCAGTCCGGCACGGGTGGTCCGCTGATGGAAAGGAGAGGAAGGGATAAGGTTGAATAACTCTTCAGAGCACTCACCGTGGTACAGGCGATAGAATACGCTAAGAGACGCTATATCTCTGCGAAGCTGTAACGACTCCGCATGCTCAGTTACATGAGGATCGTTGACAACACGGAAGGCGTAGCGCTGCAGTCCATCTAGGGCATCGAGCAAGTACTTGGCAGAGCCGTCCCAAAGGTGCGAACAGTACTCCATGCTGCTTCGGACCTGAGCTTTATACAACAGGTATCGCAGCTCTGGAGTAAAAAATCGGTGCACCTTGTTCAGGATGCCAAGCTTGCGCGACGCGGTACAGATGACGCTCTCTATATAGTCCTTGTTGCTCATGTCCTTCCGGATGCTCATCCCCAGCAGGCTGAGCTTGTCCTGCAGCGTCAGCGTTGTACCCTGAAGATGGGGAAGTGGAAGGAATGGGGATTTTTTGGAACTGAACGCGCATACCTGGGTTTTCTTGGCGTTGAACTCAACCAAGTTTCGGGAGCCCCACGACGATATATGTTCCAAAACATGGTTGAGCTCAGCGACAAGTTTTTCCCGGTTTCTCTCAGGGTCCTCCCGGCTGCTTGACGGTTGCTTATAATAGCAGCCGTGCACTGTGCTATCATCTGCATAGCAATGAATGTTGCCAAAAGGCAACAAGTCATTGATATGCAGAAGGAACAGCGTGGGCGACAGCACGGAGCCCTGTGGCACCCCAGCATTAACTGTCACGAGCCGCGAAGTGCCTCCTGTCACCAGGCTGCTGAAGGATATTACTTCCCTGAAGTCAAGCTTGGCCGAGTTGCAGTTTAAATTGGAAGCTTCAGATAACACCATAAGTGAACTGCTTGGCCAAGTTGCGTTATTAAGCAACGCTGCTACGGTATGTAGGTTACCAGAACCCTCTAATATAAACACGCTACGTGGGGCGCAAAACGCATCTTTCAGTAGTGTCGAATCGGCACAAATGGTTGCGTCACCGATCGCTGCTGCCGTCGCGCGTGATGCGTCGCGACCTGCTGCCCGCACCTCCGCCCCGGCGGAAACGTCACGCGTATGCATGTCAGACCCTGCACGTGCATACGCCGGTGTAACCGCTTGTACCAGCCGACCCGCCACTTCGAAACTCGAGCGGCGGCAATCGGCTAAGAGCAAAAACAATCCCCGTGAGCCTGTCTCTGAAGTTGCAAAACCACAGAGGCAGACGGACCTGTACGATGAAGACGGCTTCACAAAGGTGATGAAGAGGAAGAGGAAGCCCACCAGCCGTAACCAGTGTAGCACAACACCGACAGGACCGAACTTCCTGCTGCGTCCGGCCATACCGACGACGCTGCTGTACCTGTCACGACTGCATTACTCCACGAAGCCTGAGGAGATAGTGGAGTACATCAGACATAAAGCCAAACACACCCTGAGAGTCGAGCGGTTGGAGTCACGCTACAACGTAAATTTTAATTCGTTTGTGGTGAGAGTGCCGACCGAATATCTGTCGAGCTTCATGATTGAAGAGTTTTGGCCGAAGGGTGTCATGTATCGACGATTCCGCGGCCGGTTACCTGACACCAGATTGCGCCACACGTCGCCGACAAGTGCAATTCGTGTAGATTAGTTAGAAATAGTGTTTTGTTATATTGTATGTATGTTATTCCTTAAGGTATATATTATATGAGTGTTTTATTGTATTATTATTATGTTAGTCTATAAGGTATATATTTATGGGTGTTTGTAACCTAAATACAAATACATAAATTATACTACGATAGGTCGACTCGGAAAAAAGAAAAAGAGAGAGAGAGATGGCATTATATAGTTCAAGTAGCGTTATTTCTTTCCTATTTTTAGTAAGGAATAGACAATATTGGGAAATCATTCGTTCTTTCAGTCACTTTAGCAATAATACATTACTTGGTTGATAGGTTTGTCATGGTACGAATATGAGTAATATTATAAAAAGCTTACAATAAGCTCACATTGAAATAACATTGTTTTTTGAAAGCTTATGGTACGCCCCCAGGATTACTAATATAATAACACGTGCTGTAATATAACTGGTCAATTTATACTGTCAATGCGAAGCAAAACTACGTTTGTACAATATGATCTGGTTTTAAAATTACACAAATGTGATGAATAATAATAATGCACACACTCGTAGTCCCGCACAAGGGACATCCTGTATCTCGGATGCCATGGACACACTCATAATTTACACCCAAACTCACGAGAGAAATAAATGCAGGCCATACAAATATTTCTCCCGAGCCGGGAATCGAACCCGGCCTCTGCGTGGCAGACCGTTCGGCTACCGAGGCAGTTAGTACAATAAAAGCGTTCAGCACGATATTCACAGAGTGAAGTAATTTTATTAAAAGTATACAGGATTTTCTATTGACTTAGCCATATTCATGTGTTGCATTGCAATATTATTTGCATGTTGTACGCGGTTGTTATTGAACTACAAATTTGTTGTTTTTGTTGAATGTCATAGTTTTATTTGTATTGTAATTTGTATGTTATAACTGTGCCAAAATTAATTAAAAAAATAAAATTATTTTACTTACCTCCAAGGAACAAATGCTGCAATTCCCAGGCAGGCACTCTAACAAGGCCAGAGTCAGTGAGCCTTTGTAACCCACGTAGGTCCAATAACCGCAGTCTAGTGGCCCCTCGGACAAGACGAGATAGCGCCTCGTCGCCAAGACGATATTCGCCAACAGCCACTCGGTCTGCGGCTGCCTCGCCAGCTATTGATAACTCCTCTAATAGGGTCCAGCCTTCCACTTCCATCTGTGGATAAGTGTTAAAATGTACTACGGCTGCTAATATGTTCGTGTTTGTATTTTTTCATTGTGTAATTTCATGTGGTAATTTTTTTACATGAAGCTCAAAGAGAGAAATGTTACGTGCTAGACTCTAGAGCGTAATAGACTACATTTTGAATAATTATTAGTATTGCAGTTGATAATACGTTTAATATCAGCGTAAATCAATTGTTGAAGTTTTTAAATTATTATTGTACGTATGTATGTTGATAACAAATATTTAAATATGGATGATTACAACAGTACCTTGAAGTAACTATTTACTCCGTTTTTCTTCAAAAAGGAGGTTCTCAATTCCATATTTGTGAACCGATGATACTTTTTTTGTTGAAAAGAGGGTACCTCAGTAGTGGTCCCATTTAAATTTCATGAATATATTCCACATGTAAGGGCGGCAAACTTCGCTTCGCGCACTTTCCGGTAACCGATTTCAATAAAACTTGACAAGTTGTAATTCCACGAACTTTTGAGGTCTTTTTTTTGTAAAAAGGTCATATTTTTGGTAAAAACCTTTGTATTTTGACAGCAATGCAATTTATTACAAAAACACAGTATAAAATATACGCTTGAGCGATGCCGCAGTTATCAATTAATCGTCGTTGTCAATCATTTTAACATTTTTCGGACTTTGAGACGTCATAAGTTATCATAGAGTATATAACCAGAAATAGAGACGAAATAAGGTTCCATAGGACCATACATTCCTGGTAACTCATCAGTGATACATAACTTATAAACATCAACTCTCGGTTGCACTGAAATATAGACAACCGCCAACAACTGACCTTTGTGTACGTCTGCGTATATTCCAAAAACATTCTGTACTTATTGTAATAAAGATAATATCTCTAACAATAGCGTGCTGTTCCATTCGCTGGTGTGGGGAAAAACAGCAAAACATCTAATTACAGAACAAATGGAATCAAATTTTATCGTAATTAAATATGTAATTTTGCAACTTTCGTCCATTATAGCAAAGCTCAAGTTAACTGGTTATTGAAGTGAAACAATTGACGACATCTATTGATGACACCCGTCATTTGTTTCGAATTCGGGCTGGCCAATCGGAACGCAGTTGTCACAGTAATGATATGGCAGAATAGTTTTCAAACAAATTAAATGACATTTCATCTCTATTTCTGGTTATATATACTCGATGTAAGTTACGTACCTACTTTACTACTACGAAAAAATGTTCGGCGATAAAAGCCGGAAAACCCCAAGACAAAACAAGCCTGCTGATTCGAACTGTAGATATTTTGGTACAGGGGTAACCCTAGTTTGGCCGTTCGATTTTTGTATTAATAATTAGAAATATGTATTTTTTATTTTTACTATATAGCATAAATACCATTTACATTATACTAAGTGTCATTAATATTAGGTTTAGTTTAAAACATACCTGTTGTGACGTAGTTGCATTGGCCAATACTAGCTGCGAATTTGCAGCACGGAAGACACGCATCTTGGGGCAACCCTTTTGCAGCGCCTCAAGAGGCAGTGCCGCGGGATGCGACATTGCCTGCGCACCCGATATGTCCAATACTTCCAGGTTTGCGCAGTATGCCTATTATGTAAAGATAAAACTTGATTATCTGGCGTATGTTTCTTGTGACTCGTTTACTGTATACTTTATACAAGTTCTTAGTAACACTATTACATCGTAATGCTACACACTCAACAATCATCATTTTAACAGACTGAAGATTCAACATAGTATTATTATGTCATTTTATTCTCGGTGTCTGTCACTAGCAAAGAGTCTTTCCTTACTGGAACGGGATGTCGTGTGCCGTGTCTCGCATTGGGGGGTAAAGAGAGCCAATCACAAGCACAGGAGACTGAAGCTCTTTATGTTGGTAACACTTTAGCTATATATTTCTTAGTATCACAAACCTCTTCAGCTGATGGATACCATATTGTATTACATCACGTGGGCAGTCCGACCCTTTACTGGTCTGAATAACATACAAAAAAAATCTAACGCGCTCGTCTTACTTACCGCAACGGAAGTCAAGATTTGCTGCAATGCGGTGAATTTGTTATTAGCCAGCGTGAGATGCGTGAGACGTGAGCCGAAGTTCTCTGCGACTCGCGCCATTGACGCTGCTGACAGGCACGTGCTTGACCCTGCCGTCTCCGACTGAGGATTGTACAATACATAGAAATTAAAATATAATTTTCTAGTCACTATTTGGAGAAATAAAATACCAATATCACAAAACTAATCGGATAAAGCAACTAAATAATAAAAAATAACGCACATACTCATAGCCCCGCACTAGGAGGCACAAATTATACCCAAGCTCACGAGAGAAATAAACGTAGGGCATACAAGTATTTCTCCCGGTCCGTGAATCGAACCCGGGACATCAGCGTTTCAGACATGGTAACCGTTCGGCCACGGAGGCAGTTATGTACTAAGTTATGAATGTGGGAGGTAGACATCGTTTTGTGTATTAGATTACACGAGGTTTTTTGATCGCCAATTCTCCAGTGACTTGGTTGGTGGTTTTCGCGATTGTTATTAATTGGAAAACAAACTCTTTTTTAAACAAATCAAAACCCTATCGGGCCCTTTGCTATGGCTGACTCGACAGGAACTCGAATTGTTGCTTTATTTAAAAAGATTATTTATAAGATTAAGATTCTTGTTAATAAGTTCTACTGCCGGGCCTTAATAATTATAAGCCTTTTGTTTCTTCTCCATTTCTCCTGTTATTGGCATTTACTTCCCACTCCAATTCGTCTCTTTTCGACACTTTCTCATTTAATCATCCGGCGTCCAATATGTGATACAATTTTTTTTTACAATATCAAGTGACGGGACGAACAATGTAAGCAACACGCCTGTCCATAACAGTTGCAGTGCCACTCATGAACTTTAAATCGCAAAGAATTGAGGGGCGCTGCCACTGCCCGTCATCCTGAGACGTAAGTTGACAAGTCTCATGCGCCTGCAATTTCCACCAATAAATTAATTACCGTAAGCGAGAGATCAATCCTCTGCAACTTCGGGAGTCCTTGAATCAACTCGAAGAGCTGTTCAGGCGTGATGCGGCTCCACCCGGCAACACTCAACTCCACCAGCTCCGGGCAGTAGTCTGCCACGCAGGCCAGCACCCACGACACATTGCAGACCTTCCACTGGGCTATAACAACAAAACAATAAAGTATTAATGACTCATATTTTGATTAAAGGTCATGTATACCAGAATCTCATGACATGAAATATAAAAAAAAAATTGCAATTTCACTTAAAAATCTGTAATTTGATGACACTATCCGCCTAATATATATATAAAATAAATTAATAACTCTTAGTTTGAATAAAACATTTATATTTACGTATAATAAATACGTATTTATTGTAATTAATATTATTAAACTATAAATACGTAAATATTATTATTGATGTAAAGATAGACCAAATACAAAGAAAAATCCCCTCGATTCGACTTCACACGAACCAGCTTCTGTCGCCTGGTAGGTGGTTGGAATCCAGTCGAATCAAGGGAATTTTTCTTCGTGTTTGTTCGATGTTTGTATCAATAATAATAACAAAGTATTAGTATATTCTCAAAAAAGTATAGATGAATATTATGGTAATAAAAACATCATGATTTTCAATAAACATGAAACGTAAATATTTATATGAAAGTACGATATTTCACATAAGCGGAATGTTAAAGAATCGCGTTTACTATAATTATGCAAAATGACGTTAGAAACCATTTTCAGTTTCCTTATTTATCATGAGATTCTGATAGACCTATATCATCATCGAGTATATAACTAGAAATAGAGACGAAATATCATTTAATTTGTTTGAAAACTAATCTGCGACATGTGCATGAATAAATCATTACAGCGACAACTGCGCTCCGATTGGCCAGTCCGAATTCGAAATTGTTTCACTTCAAATTGACCAGTTTAAATTGAGCTTTGCTATAATGGACGAAAATTGAAAAATTACATATTTAATATTTAATTACCGGTGAAATGTAATTCCGTTTGTTTTGTAATTATATGTTTTACTACTTTTCCCACACCACCGAATGGAACAGCCCCACATTGTTAGAAATATTATCTTTATTACAATAAATACAGAATATTTTGGAATATTCCTATTAGTAGTTAGTATTTAAGACAACGGAAACGTACACACAGGTCAGTTGTTGGCACTGTACTATTTCAGCCTTCTAATTTGTGATTTCAGCGCAAACGCGAGTTGACATTTAAAAATGATATAAGGCCCATATGCCTGATAAATTGCTAGGGATGGATGGTCCTTAATTCGTCTCTATTTCTGGTTATATACTCGATGACCTATATCTACGATAAGCTACCTAGGCTACCTAGGCTACTAACGCACGCGTAATTTACTTCCTAGCGCAATTTGTACGAGAGAAACATTAGCCGAATAACTTCGTATATACTCGGCTTTTCTTGCCACATTGTCCAGCATATACTGGTTCATTTAGATATCTCTACCCTCTACTCTAGCAAGCAGCACAAAGCACAAGATAGTAAGGGACAGAGATACCTAATAAATAAATAAAAAAACCTTCTAAAATTAAACATACCGCTGCTACTACTTATAATTACAAAAACATAGTTTTTATGTTATATGTGATTCCTACTACTGTATTGTTTCATTACTCTACAAAAGGCGCCAAAATCAAGCAGATTATGCGCGGAATACAGGCTCGCGTAAATTTTCGGTACGCGAGCGTTCCCTTCAACTTAGACCGCTCAAACAAATGTATTTCTGCTCACCCGTGCGCGAGTTACCCGCGTAATTTGACGTTCGGCCTGTAATATTAATGAGAAAGCAAACATACATATTGTGACTTCAAGTCCGACCATAAGCACAGTGGTTAATTGCTTTATGTAGTGTAGGAACAGCTCTGACAAACAATGGTTAATTGGAAAACCATCAGCTGCAGTACCTCTACCATGAGTCTGCAATAACGATAGACGTTAGCGACCGCGTAACACATTTACATGGAAAAGTTTAGTTCTTCAACGCTAGGGGGCGCTGTTCTATTTGTGAATTATACCACACAAAATTGTCAAATAATACTACGCGGTAGCTAATGACAAGCAACAATACACTCATGATAGAGGTAATGAATGTTACTTTATGTGAATACTATATTTTAGTTAATAACCAAACCAAATAAACCAAAATAATTATTTAAAAATCTAACAACATTTAATGCTGCTCAGTTAGACAAAGTATATCAGAGGTGTTCATACAAAAACCATATAAGAAAAAATATTAGGGGTTAAAGTATGAAATTGCCGTTTTATTGCAATA